GGTTGAAGTTTAAGAAAGTGATGCCAAATTCATGAGAGCCAAAATATGACCTTGGAGATATCCCACTTAAATTTTGAGAACATCTCAAGAACAGATTTGATTAAACACTAATGACAGAAGACCTAATGAGCTGTGGGATGACATCATGTATGAAGAGAGCACTAGGTCATTGAAAAGCAGGAAGAAAAGATCCATGTGGAGGTCAGAGAGACTTTGGTTTTGAAGCCGATTGTGATAGCAACTGTACAATATGCCTATGAGATCGAACCACGGGATGATATATCTGCATTAACTCCCAATAAAATGGTTTGAAAAAAAAGAGAGGCTTAAACTTGCTCTAATCAAGGAGTAACTAAGGCAAATGGAAGATGATGACGACGACAAAGAGCTTAACATAAAATGTCACAGGGCAGCCTGAGAAGACAAAGTAACACATACAATGAACTGTACAAAGACCAGAGTTAGAAAACCAGAAAAGGAGCACATGCTCAGTGTATCTCAAACTCAAGGAACTAAAGGACGAGAAAAAGGAAAAGAAGAAGGTCCTCAGCGTGGACCACCTAGAGCCTGAGTCTACGTTGCTGGCTAGTGGACAGTCAAGCATCCAGGCCCTGGGTGCTGCTGAGCTCCACAGCAGGAAGAGGGAGAGGAGGAGGAGGAGGAGGTCTGGGTTAGCCCTGGCCTGATGGTAGAGACCTCCTTAAATTCCAGACAGGGGATGGAGGGAAAGTTGGCAAAACATTCAAAGAGTTTTCTTATTTATTTACTTGAGGTAGTATTTTACAATTGGACAACATTCCAGTAGGGATATTATTAGATGTAGGGAGTGAACTTAGAAAAACTATTTAGGAGAATCTGAGCTATTAAATGTCTGTGGATTGCAGAGCTCGCATGTGGATCACTGACTCAGGCCATAACTAAGGTATGAATAGTCTTACTCTCAGTCAGTACATCAGAAAGTTGATTAATGCAGATATAGCTAGACTGAATTTTAACACCTTGTTATCTATCTTCCCTTTTGATCCATTTTAATTTGTTCTAGTTTATTATTTTCTGATTTGTTCTGGATTGAGGTTTTTCTCTTTTTTAAAAAAATAATTTTATTGGGGGCTTTTACATCTCTTATCACAAACCATACATTCCTCCAATGTGTCAAGCACATTTGTATATATGTCGCCATCATCATTTTCAAAGTATTCTCTTCCCACTTGAGCCCTTTATATCAGCTCCCCATTTCGTCCCCCTCCCTCCCCTGCCCACGCTCCCTCACAAACCCTTGCTAAGATATAGATTATCTTACATCGTCCCGTGTCGCCCCTCACCCACTTTTCCATTATTCGTCCCCCTGGGCGGGGGGGGTGTTCTAGATTGATCTTAGTGATCGATTCCCTGATTGAGGTTTTTCTATGATTTTTTAAAATTTTGTTATTGTTGTTTGGGGTTATTTTGGTATAATTTTCTTTATATGAAATTCAGGATATGTAAAGCTATAGAGACAGCAGCTAAAGTAATAGCGTCTTAGGGAGTTAGGGAAGAAACGGGGAGCTAATAAGAATGAGTACAAAAGAAATATTTAGAATATTATATTAGAAATATTTAGAAGAAAATATTCTAAAATTAATTTTAGTGATGATTGCATAACTCAATATATTCAAAGCACTAAGTTATGAGGCATGTGAATTTTATGTCAATAAAACTGTTAAAAAATTTAAATGACATAATGCATTGGGTAAATCTGTTGCAAAAGGCCTTTTTAAGTGTGAAAGAACAATGATGTCACTGAGGACTAAGGAGTACCTGCCTAATCCGTGCCACAGCACTGTCAATCACTGCATATGTATGTGAAAGCCGGACAGTGAATATGGAAGACTGGAGAAGATTGAATGCATTTGAAATGTGGTGCTGGTGAAGGATACTGAATATACCACGAATTTCCAGAAGAATGAACAAACCTGTCTTGAAAGAAGTACAAGTGGAATAATACTCTTTAGACGTGAGACAGTGAAACTCTGTCTCATATACTTTGGATGTGTTATCAAGAGGAACCATTGCCTGGAGAAGGGCAGCATGCTTGGTTAAGGCGAAGAACGGTGTGACAGTTAAGGTTTTGTGTCAACTTGCCTGGGCCAGGATTCTCAGCGAATTTGGCAGTTAAGATGTAGTACTTTTCCATGATGAGATCTCAAGGGTATGGCGTGCTTCCAATAAAAGTAGATGCTGTGGAAAAGTTTCCTTGCTTTTTGATGGGTCTGGGTTCTGCATCTGACTCACTGACCTCTAATTATGAGGTCAACAGCCTGCTAACTTACCTGCCAACCTTGGATTCATTTACCTCTGCAGCCATAAGCTTGACCTGCCAACTATGGACTCATTTGCCTCTGTAGTCTTCCTGTCATTCTTGGTTCATCAGCCCCTGCAGCTACATGAGTCAAGAGATGTACTTCTCGCCTAACATGTGACCCATGGACTTGCCTAGACTTGGAACTTACTTGGTTCTACAACTGTATGAACCATTTTCTTAATATAAATCTGTCTACATATATACACATATGAGCTTCAATGGTTGGACTTCTCTAGAGAATACAACCCAAGACTTTCAGCAAAAGAGATGTGGCCTTTCAATGAGACGGAATGACCCAGTGATTGCAACATAACAATTGTGAGGATGATGGGGGACCAAACAGTGTTTGTTCTATTGTACACAGGGTTCCTATGAGTCAGAGTCAACTTGACATGACCTAGTAGCAGCAAATAAGTAAAAATGCAACAGGATTAACCAGGAAAATGATAATACTGTCATTTTAATGGTCCAGTCCCCTCTGTGATGATCCTTACTACAGCCCAAAACAACATTAAAAAAGGTACAAAGTAAATACTAAAGATGTCTTTTGGGAGGGGGGGAAAAGGAGCTGATATCAAAGGGCTCAAGAAGAAAGATAATGTTTAGAAATTGTTTATGTCAATAATTGTACATGTATGCTTGAGATAACAGATGTATGGTTTGTTACAATATATGTAAGAGCCTCCCCAAAATGAATTATTTTTAAAATATATAAATAAATGACATCCTACAAATCTGGTCAGTCACTGCAGACTAAGGCTTGTGTTAGATTAGCTGAAAGGGAACCTTTGCACCAAATGTAGACATGAGGTTTTAACAGTGATGATTGATGTTTACACGGAATGAAAAGAAAATGCTATTCTAAAGAATACACTCTCCAAATGTGGTGAAGAAAGCTGATGGTACATGGCTATCAAAAAAATAGCAGCTGGGGTCTTTTTAAAAAATAAATCATTTTATTGGGGGCTTTTACAGCTCTTATAACAATCCATACATCAATTGTGTCAAGTGCATTTGTACAGTGTTGCCCTCATCATTTTCAAAACATTTTCTTTCTATTTGAGCTCTTGGTATCAAGCCCTCTTTTTCCTCCTCCCCCCCTTGGGAATCCTTAATAAATTATAAATTATTACTATTTTCATATCTTACACCATCTGCTGTTTCCCTTCACCCATGTTTCTGTTGTTTGTCTTCCTAGGGCTGGTGGTTGTACGTTGATCACTGTGTAGACTCCCCCTTTTTCCCAGCTGGGGTCTTAAAGGCTTGAAGATAAACAAGTGACCATCTAGCTGAGAAGCAACAAAGTTCACATAGAAGAAGCACATCAGCCTGTGTGATCATGAGGTGTTGATGGGATCAGGCATCAGGCATCAAAGACCCAGGACAAAAAAATCACATCTGTGTCAATGAGGGGGAGTGTGGAGTGGAGACCCAAATCCCATCTGAAGACAATTAATTGGATGGACATCCCTTACAGAAGGGTCACAAGGAAGAGACGAGCCAGTCAGGGTGCAGTATAGCACCGATGAAACATACAACTTTCTGGGTGAAGGGAGATGTCGGACAGTGTAAGACGTGACAACATTATAATAATTTATAAATTATCAAGGGTTCATGAGTGGGGGGCGGGGTGGGAGGAGAAAAAATGAGGAGCTGATACCAAGGGCTCAAATAGAAAGCAAATGTTTTGAGAATGATGATGGCAACAAAT